TGGATTTCAAATAATTGAATTTTGTGTTTTGTATTGAATTCAGTAATAAATTCTCTTTAAAATGATATATACAAGTTTGCATTTTGCGAAACGTAGCATTTTCTATAAGCATACAAAGTTCAAGAACATAAAAATTTCCAAAATTGTGGTATGGTCAGGGTTGGTGCTAGAGTCACCATGGCAGAATTTTTAGAATTTAGTGAAGCACCAAACAACAAAATCTAGAGATGGCAAAACTTTTGAAAGTTAGGACAAGTACTGGACAGCAGAATTTAGGGGTGGCCGAAAACTTAAGAATTTATGACCAAGAGAGATTTTATGAGAAAGCAAAATATCTGGCAAGGCCAAAATTAAAAGACTTATAAAGATCAAAAATTTTTTCAAGGACTGTACGAACCCTGAAATAAATAAGAACCAAAAACAAATCCAAGTGAAAGGAACCTTACAAAGCAAAACAGAATGATGCTCAGATTTGGTATTGCTACTGCTTTTAATCTTATGTGAATTATGAAATCATTGCTAAACATTTTTTATATCTGAATCTACGAGGGGTAATCCAAAAAAAAGTTTACAAGGCAAATGAAAAAGTTTTTATTAACAATAGAAACAAGATGCAAATGGGAATCAAGAGACGCATCTGGCCTTCACTTTTCCACATAGTCGCCAAACCTGTTGAGGCATTTGTCAGAACGTTCGACCAACTTGTTTATCCCGTCTTGTTAGTAATCAGGGCTCTGCTCATTGAGCCATTTCTCGGCAGCTGTTTTCACTGCATCGTCTGAGGTGAACCATGTTCCGAATAAGTATCGCTTCAACGCCGGAAAAATGAAATAGTCACTTGACGCCAAATCGGGGCTGTATGGGGGGAGGTGATTCCAGACCTCCCACTTGAACCTTTGCAGCAATTCCTGAGTCTGGCGAGCTGTATGGGGCCTGGCATTGTCATGCAGAAGAATGACGCCTTTGCTCAGTAATCCAGGCCGTTTCGGATGGCTTTACGCAATTTTGTTAAGGTAGCACAATAATGATCGGCCTTAATGATATGGCCACGCTCCAAATACTCGATTAGGATAACAAAAGCCGTATCCCAGAAAATGGTTGCCATCACTTTACTGGCAGAGGGTGTGACCTTAAACTTCTTTCTCGTCGGTGATCCAGCATGTTTCCACTCTATCGTAGCTCTTTTGGATGTGAGGGTGAAGTGATGAAGCCACGTTTCATCACCGGTAACGATGCGATCAATGAAGTGTTGGCCGTCTGAATGGTATCCCTGAAGAAATGTGAGGCTGCACGTCATTCGAGTAGCCTTATGCTCCATGGACAACGCACATGGAACCCAGCAGGCACAAATTTTGGAATATCGCAGCTCATCGGTTACGATACGCTGAACGTTACCATAACACAGGTCCAACTCTGAGGCAATCTCACGCACGGTTACTTGTCGATCCCTCTGCATGATTTCTTCAACACATGCCGTGTTGATATCCATCCTTGAAGAACATGGATGGCCGCTCGCTTCCATATTGCGGTTTTCCACATGCTCCCTGCTTGCTTGATAAGAATGACACCATTTCACTACCTGTTGTCTACTCATTACTTTGTTCCCGTATGCATCAGCAATTTGTCTGCGAATTCAGATGCGGCCACATTCTAGGCCCATAAGAATCGAATTACGGCTCGCACCTCTACGCGAGACCACTTTTCTAAACGTCGCGCCATTACTGTCACTCTTAAGTGTTGTACTGATGCTACTTACTCGTAAAACCGCTGTAGGACAACTAGCGCCATCTGTCAACCACCCCGGGTGGAAATATTCGCTCCAAAATTATTACGTTTCAAATGCTTTCTGCTTGTAAACTTTTTTTTTGGATCAACCTACGTACATATATCTAAAAAATTTCTTATTTTTATAAATACGTCTAAAATTATTTACTTTAAGATGGTGTGTAAATACAGAATACAGTCAAAAGTCTTTAATCCGGACTCGTCGGGACTTCGGTGATTTCGGATTATCGAATTTTCCGGATTATAGATCATCAGTATAAATCTGGTAAGATGGCATGCAGAAATTATAAAATTAAAAATATGAAACCGTAATTTATAAAATAATGAGCAATTATGATCTAAAGGGTATCAAAATTTACAAAAAAAAAGCTTAATATTTATTTGTTTACTTTATTAAACATTTCTTTCAACGCGCGCATGCGTAAAGCATACATTATGCATAGCCGAAATTAGAAAATTGCAACCAGAAAACCATTTGATTTGTATTCGTGATATTTATAATGACGAGGAATGTGATTTAAATCATATCAAAGACGAAGTACATCGAGCTGAAATACTACATTTAATAAGGAATTATAAGCCGAATAAAATAAAAACATCTGCCATGAAGATAACGAAAGTGTTGACAGATCAACTTCCAGTTCATTGCGCACCGCCACATTCCCCCTCCGCAGAGCAGCGTGAAATTGATAAACAGATTTCGGAACTGTTAGATAAACAAAGGATATGCCTTTATCCATTTTTTGGAGCAATTCCACTTTTTGTTTGATGGACGTCGAAACATACTTTCGTTTTCGTAGATCCTTTGGGAGCTCCAGCATCGGAAATTCTATTTGACATAATCGAAAGTTCAAGCCTAAAATTGCTCTTACAGTCTGCAAAAAATAATAAGCCGGATCCAATTTGAAGATTAAGGAACAACGCAATCATCAACATTAACTGAAATAGACAATTAGATAATTTTAGCCTATACCGTCCGTTATACATTAAACGCGCAGCGAAAGCGTATTCTGCGCTTGTGCACACACAAATGCGCAGTCGTAAAGGTCTTACGCGCACGCTTAAACGCCTATGCGCATACGTCAAAGCGGCGCATGTGCAGAAAGTTTTTAGCTTTGAGGTCCGGATTATGGGTGTCCGAATTAATGACGTTTGACTGTAATATAATCTAACATTTTTTTTCCAAAAAACTTTTTTCAAAACCTTCTTTAAATAAATCGGAAAAATGACTGACTTAAAAAAAAAAAAAAAAAAAAAAAAAAAAAAAAAAAAGAGGCCGATACTATTATACATATACCAAATATAATTAACATTATGGAGCTAAAATTTTGAGTGAAAAAAATACTGGTCTGATTTTTACAAAACTTGGCACCTGAGATGTAGAATTGAACTATAGGACAAACTTGGCATGCCATTTCAGAAAATGTGTGATTTTATGTCCAAAGACATATGTTAGAACATTTATAAATAATAGCTGAATGCAATAACAGTATTCAGAATGCTTAACTAGTATGGAAAGAAAAGGAAAAAAAGGAGACTTTTATTTTAAAAAAATATTTTGTTACTTATATTAGTAATAATTTCTATCAGTTTTTGTTTTAAGCCCAAAGAAGCGTTAGCCCAGAAGGGCTATTAGTCTTCAGGATTTTGCGTTGAATCACTATAAAAGTCCAAATCACTTTTCAAATTGTTGCTACCAAATATTATCGCCCTGTATTATATTTAAAGAAATTAAATAATGAAGAATTTGCATGAATGTATGCATGTTTATCACATTGTAAAAAAACAATGGTACCTAGAGCCATCATATTTTGAATAACATAGCCCTCCACCTGAATATGGACACCTGGAAGCCTGAATTTTAAATTTGTTTTATTGTGTGTTTCATATTTCATAAAACTTCAACGAATTTTTGATTAACAAACTCGAGTTCAAAGCGAGCAGTTGCAACACTGTATGGGAAAAAACATCTTTATCTCTAGCGCGCGAGACTGTCTATTGGGAATTCTATGGTTATGCCGTTTTTAAATATTTTATTGTGTATTTCAAATTTTGTAAAAATTTTATTGATTTAACGAATGAATGAATTTTTTAATTAACAAACTCAACGATTTCAAAGCTAGCAATGGCAATACTGTACCAGGGGGACATTTTTATCTCCAGTGCCCAAGACTGGAAATTTTAAAGATAGGCTGGTTTTAAATATTTTTAGCCAAAAGAAACATTAGCCCAAATGCTCTTGAAACACGTATGTAAATGATAAAAAAAGGCGCCTTTGGGCATAATAAAAAATTTGAAAGCTTTCAGATTTTTGTGCTCACTTTTGTAAAGTTATTTTAACAAACGTGATTTTTTGCTAATGTTAGGATCTGTTTGCTCCTACTGTTTCCACAGGAATATGTAAAAAGAATGAGAATCTCAGTTAATGAAGGAGGATTGACAATGGTTATAATATTACAAGAAAATTCTTCTGCTTACACCTGATGCTAGCAGAGAAATTTTTAATCTGGTGAGTGTCCCTTCTGGCTGGTGCACATTAGATAATGTGTGAAATTTGAGTCAGCTAACAGGATGATTTAACTTCTTAATTGTATATAAAATTTTATGTGTTGTCTGTTGACGGTGAATTTATATTTCACGCTGAAGTCTACAATAAATTTTAGTTTTTTTTTTTTTTTTAATTTTATGCTAAGTTTGTGTTCATTTTATTATTTTGAGTTTGCAGTAGAAGCCAGCATGAAACATTGTCTGCCAAGTTTGGAGATTAGACTTGTTTAGTTTAATCAAACTGAGTTTAGCCTTGTAGTTTTGAATGATATTTCCTGCATTAAATACTGAAAACATGCAATCTTAATACAATTCTAACAATGATACTTTTAAAGCAGTAATATTGTTAGAAATGCATTATGAGTGTAAACATATTTTCAGTATAAAGATCATGAATGGAATCACATCGTGGAATTCACTATATTTACAATAAAAGTAACTTTAATATTAAACAAACAAAAACAATTATTTCTTAACATAAATATTTTGTTTCCATAACTATACAAATAAACTGAAATAAACCTTGAATAATAGTAAAATGATCCAGGTTTTTGGAACACTAAAACTACACTAGTCCTTAATCTACGTTATACAATTTTGCATCATGAAGAATTTCAGAGAGAGAGGGAAGGAAAGATGGAATCATATTTATTTAAGTAATCACTTACTTTCCATCGCATGAAAACATAATCAGTATTCTTCAGTTCATCATAATCAAAACTGTCTGAATTAAAGCATTTGGCATATTGATAAAAGGAATGAAATTTATTCTGAAAAAGTGGAAAAAATGTCAAAAATAAATTTAAAGTACATTCTTTTTACATTAAGTTGTTTAAAACAGAATATTTATTACATATGGACATATTAAGTTTTGGCTCTTTTACACATGGTTATGTTTTGCATGTAATGCTTTATTACACAAGGATTTACAGTTCAAAATCAATAGCAGATAAGGGCAAAATAACAAATATAACCATTAGCGAACATTTGAAACATTTAGAACAAAGAAATGCCTATCTTAACAAATATTATACTTCCCACATGTAAAAATCACATTATATTCAGCTGGATTTGAAGTCAAGCCCATTAAAACCATAACAGTAGAAAAGGATCTTAGTAAATATGCTTTAAACATCGTTGAAAGTAAAAAAGGGAAGAAATGGATAATGATGCACGCAATGGAAATCCTGCAAATGGCCAGATTTACTAATAAACAGCTTCATTTATTTGAAAAATATTTTATTATTTCTGAAAAAAAGGCAAAAGAATTAAATATAATAATTTAATCCAAAAAATTCAGTGAGAAATATGGAAGAATTCTTATTTATTTACTGCTATGATATTTCATTAAGTTTTTTCTTTTCAAACAGCTGGCCCAATCATAAAATGATCATTATGATTTAAGCTTTTATAAACGAATTATTGGTACTTTTCCGTTTCGCTGGCGCAAATCTCGCCAAGCAGACTTTATTAGCGACAACATATGGTGTACACATAAAAAATGTTAACAAATGTTAGTTCTCAGCATTTTTTTATTTTAAAGGCATAAACATTTTAATATTGTTTAAAATTTTGTAAAAAGCCAATAAATTTTTAAAAAGATATTAATTTAAGAATTTACTATGCTTTCATAGTTCCACATCCTGATTTGCCTTTTCATATCACGTGACCCCAAGTGATCTAAACTCATGTAAACTAAACTACAAAAATCTAATTCTCTCAGTAATTATCTACATTAATTTCAAGTTAAATCTTAATTTGGAATACAAGTTTAAATGCAAGAATTATTTCAGTTCGTACGAATAGCTTACTCAGAAATTATGTAAAACCGTAATGCTTTGCTAGTGCATTCTCATTAGAATTGATGAATTTAACCCTTGACTTTGCCTTTTCTATATTTTCGCCTTCGGGTGAGCGGTGTGATTGCATCCTAATTGACTTAATTATCGCGAATGGCCTTACAGCATAAAATTGAACTATCTGGTAAAAATTCTATGTAATTGTATGCCAGTATTGAAAGAAACAATCATTCTGATAAGAAATGGCTGTGAATTGTTTTGAAAATGAGGCGTAAAAGGTTACCAGCGAGGATATTAAGCTTGGCATCAATTGTACCATTACTGGCAACTTTAATACCTGTGCCGGCAAAACGGAAAAGTGCTGAATTATTTTTAATCCTTATATTTAAAATTTGCTTAATTATTATGCACAATCTGTTAATGAACAATTTAACTACTTCACTTTGCTTAAATTATACAAACTTGTTTATTTATAAAAATGGTTGGCTTTATTATTAAATTGCAGACTGTGTAGTTCAAAATCATAACTGTCCTGTTGCATTTTCTCTTGGCACCAATCCCCGAAGAAATTTTATGAAATACGCAATATTTTGATTTTGGAATTTTTTGAATTTATTCCTTTATTATTATTATTTTTACACTACTTCACAGCGTAAGTTCTTACTACTTTGAAACAATTATAAATTTATTGCAGTTTTCAGTGCATTATTTAGTTCAAGGCTTTATTAAACTTTTATTTCCTTTTTAAAGTTACTAACATACATTACATACCAAAAATCATACCTCAAAAAAGTTATTGGAAGCATACAACAACAATAACAAAAAAGAGAGGGCTAACTAAATTCAGGGTTCATATACATTTCTGCACATGGAAATTAAGTACTTTTAAGGACCATTAATGAAAACAATTACAAACCTATCAGGAAACTGGAACTTAAATAAAATTTCAATATATTAGCATTATTTTAATGAAACTTATCAATGTTATAATGATTAAAAAAATCAATGAAAAATTACCAGACTTCCAAATAAAAAATTTTCGACAGAAATTGATCTTAAAATTGCTAAAATGTTGATAAGTTGCCAAATTTAGAACCATGTAATAAAAGAATTTACATCCCCAAAAGCAAAGAGTTGTTTAAGAGCTCATCATGAGAAAAAATGAAATAATTTCAAAATGCTTATATTTCACTTCTTGCCCAGAAATTCTGAGCAAATTATAACCCATTCATCCATTCAAAAGAAGACCATATTTATCAGTAATCACCAACAATATTCCTCCAAAATGCTAATTCACATTTAAAATGGCATTGTAAAAAAGATAGAAAATCCAGATGATTAAAATTAAGGACATTCTGCCGATTTTGGCTGAAATTAAGAACAAAAAAACTGATTGAAAAAAAAAACCCTAAGGACTTGTAGGGACTAATAAGAATCATACGAACCCTGTAAATTACATAATAAATGAAAGTATTTCAATTAGTAAAATAATAGTGTTACATAAGAACGATATGAAATAAGTTCAAAAATTAGTTTCTTCCATATATATGGGTCATGCAGTTGAATTTTACTAATTTTGGCTTTAACAATATACTTTTGCTTGTAACATGAAATTGCTTTCTTATATTTTGAAAATTCAACACATTTTAAAAATATAAAACTATACTAAAATTTGAAATACACAAATTAAAAAAAAATAGTGTAATCTGAAAGGATCTGATGCAAGGTCCTCTAATTTATTCAAAGATGGCTTGTAGTACAAAAACGGAAAATATTTCCCATACACTAACGGCAAGTACCAACAAATTATGAACAGAATGACAAAACTAACATATGAAATGCTTTTTGATAGTGAAAGCACACTGAATAAATTGAAATGCAGTGACTGTGATCCCATAAAAGCTTAATCTTTAACTAAAATACAAAATGAACCTTCAGAAACATTAAAATTTCACCAATTTATAAAAACGCAGATTTATTCACATCTCAAGCAACTGCAGTTTGTTGCTTGTAATAGGTTCATTACTAGTCACTGCTCGAGTTGGCCTCTGGTCACAGTGTTAACCACAGGGAGTTTAGATGACAACTATTAGGAAAAAAAAAAAAAAAACTAGTGTTAGGACAGTCAGATGAGTTCTGTTAACCTGTTCGAATATAGCTTGGAAACATGTTAATGATGACAAAATACTTTGATTTACAGAAGATTTGAGCAGACACATCACTTTGAGCAACCAGGGGAAAACAGGACTGTAACATCATTATACGAACAAAGTTAAATTCATGCTAGTAGTAATGTAGGAGAGCAGTTGATAAACAAATTGAAAATATAAATAGCAATACAAAACTATATAAAACATTGATTATGCGTAAGGCTTTGACTACAGAGAGGAAGTATGCCACTGTACTATTGCTGTAAGACATTTACACAGCGGAAAGTGATTAGGGAAGGCTGCATATAGCCTGGCATGGCTGAGTAGGCAGTAGCATAATATGCAATGATTGAACCGATTTTATTTTGTGTAGATCTGTTAATGCTAGTGTTAGGGGCTCACAATGACTAGGTATGGAAGCTGGATATATAACTCTGTTTTTATAGAAATTTTCACATGTGAAAGCTACTTAAAATCTATATAGAAGTTATTTGATACCTGCGTAAAATTCGGTACTTACGTATTATCGCAACCAGGTTGGTGCGATTTGTAAGTTTGAGTAAAAAATAAAGAAGAAAATGTACATTTATTAATACAGATAATTTTTTATACAGTTTTTTATATTATTTTGTTTTAAATATAAAAATAGCCTTAACCCTTCCGGTTTCGAATTTGATAAGTTCAGAATTATATTTTCGGCGGAAATCTTGGCTATTGCATTTAACACTGATTGAAACCGTCTTCGCTATTAACGCTTGAGCTTGCGCCATATAAATTCGATAGGTATGAGTCAGATGATGACGGGCTGTTCCTCTCTGCTTTTTGTTGCGCCATTTGGCTGAGCCCACATGCGCTCTACATGTTGTTGTGAACGCACCGTGTGGGATCCACAAAGTTATATTTGTGATTAACAATTCCATGCAAAAATCCACATTTTTGAACTCACTTGTATGTATCCTTTCCAGTAATCCGAAAAAGGATGTTTCCTTCCTTGATATTTTCGCAAATTTTTTCCATAGTTAATGGCGCTTCTGTTAGGTAAGTAACCAAAAGTCTCTTTCTTTTCTCGCAATTCCGCCAAAAACCCATTGCTGGTAGTATACGCCCAGTGTTATTTTTTCTTTTTACAAATAAACTTTCGTCTAAACACGTAGGGTTGCCGTAAGTAGGGTCGCCAAATTTGGCGGTTTATGCGAATTTTGGCTTGGTTGCGTTAATACGTAAGTACCTAAAATTCTACCAGCATGTTTTAGGTGAACTTAATTGTTGTATTCTTTCAATAACAGAATTTTTAAAAATGTTGGTGTTCATTCAAAACAATATGGTAAGAATTCAAATGTTACACTAATGTACCAAATAGAGAACAAAGAATAATTGTTTAATTTATAGAATAATAATAACTTAAAATCAAATTACATATTTTGACAATTGATAAACATTTTTATGAAATTTGGCTTTGGGGTTATCTGTCTGGCTGACTTATGCAAAAACTAGTTCTGAAAAAAAAAAAAAAAAAAAAAAAAAAAAAAAAAACTATGGCAGCCACAATTTCAAGCATAACATTTTCACCTCAACTATATGTCCAATCACGTAGTTTGGCAGTACATAGGTTCTAAATGACATGTTTCACAGGTAAAAGAAGTTTGTTTCTCAGAAAAGTTTCTCCTATACTCATGCTTCGTTAGATTCGATAACCCCCATTACACACAGCATTAATATTCTACATAACATTAATATGATGACAGCTTTAAGTCAAATTACAAATAAAAAAGTATTTTAGACAGTTTAAAAAGTACAGTGATACCTCTTAAGAAGTCTAGTTTTGAAAGTGATCAATATTTTACATTACTTTTATTTCAGAGCATAAGTCATAATTTGAATATTACTATTAGTCATATTAGCTAAAGCGATGCCTTTCAAAATTTATTATCTTGTGATAGACATGCATATAATTGCTCTGAAATAAAAGTGTTTCCAGTATGGAAATTATATAAATGCAGTAATAATATATAAACAAATACAACTATTAAAACTGACCAATTACTATATACTCATCCATAATTGCTAGTAGATATATATTATTATACAATAAAAAAATAAACTTCATTTTCAAAAAGTCATTATTTCAAAAACTTTCAAATTACGACTAGGGAAATTATTAATCTACAAGATTCATATCCAGTGTTCATAAAATTCATCTGCAGCTATGAATGGTCATCTTGGACTAACTATTCTCAACCTTTTTCTCCCCTTGCACCCCTTTCCCCATTGCTAAAAGACAATTCTACAATTCTCCTCCCCTTTCCTTTCTAAAGCTAGAAAAATACAAATATATATTTACTTAATTATTTTTAATGTCCTTTATAAACATAAAAAAATATAGAAAATTTTGGTAAATACCGAAACTTGAATAAAAGCAATTTTTTATATTCATACTAAAAGTACAACTAAGTAAATGGCTAACTGCATAGTCACCGGATCGATCAGAACAATTGTCTTACAATTTTACTGCTGATATATAGTACACATTCTTTTACTTAGTCATCCACTTATATGCCTTCAGCTAATTATATTAAAAAACTTCTAACATTTCTTAACGAAAGAACATTAAACACTATTAAGCTTACCCAATGTTTCTTATCCACTTCTTCATCAGCATCCCATTTGCGGGTTAAAAATGGATATTTTTTACTAATTATTTCTCCATCAAAGAATGTAGTTAAGGTTGGGTATTCTTCTGTTAGACCTTTAATTTTTAAATAACCACAAAGATAAGCATTTTCTTCATCCACATGCTAAAAGGTAAAAAATATAGATTCAAATAAAAACAAAATTATTATTGCATGATAAAAAAGTTAATGATTGATGCATTTTTTAAAACACGAAAAATGATACATTGAAGTTTTTATTATAATTGTTGTTTTACTGTAAGATGGATACTATATCTGCAAAAGCATTTTAGCTTCCAAACTTAAATACCTTTAAATACAGTCCATGCTTGTTATTTCTAAAAGCAACACTTATTTCTAAAATAAAATTTCAAATTAAAACAAGTGAAATCAAACAAGCACACTAATTCTACTTACTGTGCAAGTTGTAAATATTTACTTCCTACAAAAATAATTAAAAATTACAGATTTTGTTTCTTTCATTTTAGATATTTTAAAAACAATTTTCTATTTTTATTAACAACGATAAATATCAACTTTATTAAATTAAAAATTTTCTGCGTTTTCCAGTCTTTGGAGGAAGGGGGAGATCAATAGCATTTGCAATATATTGTTACGAAATGTCCAGGCAGCTTCCCCACAAAGCAGTTTTACGGTTGCCGGCGAAAATTCGCCCATTTGGCGACATGTCATGGACGGATGGAGAACCTTTTGGAACGAATTTTTACCGGTTTAGCTCAGAATGTTCTCGAACACAAGCCAAAAACTATATAAACCCTGCTGATATGCGGAGAGAGAGTGTGAGATAGTTAGTGTCTCGAGTTGGTTACTACTCCATGTGGAATCAGTCGAGTTGACAGACGGTTAGCGAGTGCCGAGTGGGTCGTCGAATGCATCGCGTCTTTTAGTGTATTGCAGTTAGTGCATCGTCGAGAGAGCCTGTTGAGCTCCAGGAATGACTGAACCGAAGAGTAAGGAGCTGTGCTCTGTGTGTCGTCGAGTGCATCGCGAGTTGTAGCGTGGACAGTCTCGAGAGTGCGTGGAGTTCCAAGAATGAACGAGCAGAGTCGGGAGATGTACTCTGGTGCTTTGCAGTGAAGCTATCTCCATCGTTATAGCCTGATAACCTGGAGGCTGTGTAAATCTACGAACCCCGTACGAATGTGAAGAAAGGAAATAATGTAACAACTGGTGTCAGGAGTGGTGTTTGCGAGTGAATGTCAGTGATCCGCCTGCAGAGGAAAAGAAGACTTTGATGGACTTGGCTGAAATGAAAGCCGGACACGAAGAGATGGGAGCTGAACTGAAAGAGATGAAAGCCAGACAGGAAGAGATGAAAGCCGAAATGAAAGAGTTAAAAGCCGGATATGATGAGATAAATTCTGGATATAAAGAGATAACGGCTGAGATGAAAGCCAGACCGGAAAGATGAAGACCAGAGGAGAAAAGATGAAAGCCGGCCGAAAAAAGCGGCGAGGGTACCTCCCGCAGATGAAAGGAGCTTGCAGAAGAAACTGGGGCCATAAAATAAGATGCGGAAATGACGGAAGTGGCACCGGAAGAATCGGAGGATGAAGAAATAAAGGAAGTAGCTGGTAAAGTATCAGAGAAAGCTAAAGAAATAAAGGATGAAACACCTTATGAGATTAGAGAAAGAGAACAAAAAGATGAAGAAGACACTTCTCATACTCAGATGTCCGAAGTTGAACTGGAAGACAGTGATAATACTGTTTGTAGAGACGAAGAAATAAACGAAGTGGCTTGTACAGCTTCTAAAAGAGGTGAAGAAATAATCCGTGTAAATAAAGTTCCTAATTCTCAAGTGCCTGAAATGAAAGAAAGTGAAAATGTGACTGTTAAGTTCAACGAAACTGATAGCGAAACTACGAAGTCGCAGTTAGCAAGAATTGAATCACCTGAAAATGCACATGATGCAGAAATAGAAGAAGCTGATGTACAGCTTACGCAGAGTGCTCCAGTATTGCAAGAAGATTCACCCATTTCACAAACCAAGTGTGTGTCTCCTAATACAAGTTGTACAGACACCAACTTAATTTTAAGCCAAGATACTTGTGCTTGTGAAGAATTGGGTTCCGTTCATGACTCTGATGCAAAATTTAGAGCTGGTTCCCAGAAAACGAAGTAAAATAAGCATGTACCATCTGCTAAAAATACCGAGGTGAATTGTACGCATGCCGCGAAGTAACTACAGAGTGGTGAATGAACTGTTTTAGATTTTTCTAGGATGAAAAGTCTGCCTCTTCAGACTGTGATATGCAAAACAGAAAGGTGTCTGAGAACTACAGCGGAAAAGTATTTGACAAAGATATAACTTAATGAAAAGACAAAGACTGAAATTCATTCTGAACTTTAATTTGTATAATTTGAAATTGTTATGTGTTTAATTTGCGTATACAACTTGTACATAGTGTAAATATTTGTTTCTTTAGTTATGTTATTTATTTACTTATACCTCATGTTTGTTTAATTACGTTTTGTTTGTATCGAATTAGGCTTCTGACCAAGGGTCGTACTGCCCGGAACGTGCAGTCCTTGGGAGCGGGCAGTGTTACAAAATGTCCAGACGCGGTAAGATAGCTTCCCCGCAAAGCAGTTTTAGGGTTGCCATAAAACGGCAAAAGCAGGGTTGTCACATATGACGAAAAATCGCCCATTTGGTGACATTTCATGGACGATGGAAAACCTTCTGGAACGAATTCTTACCGGTTTAGCCCAGAATGTTCTCAAAACCAAGCCAGAAACTATATAAACCTTGCTGGTATGCGGAGAGATAGTGTCTCGAGTTAGTACGTACGGAGACAATCGAGTTGACAGTCGGTCAGCCAGTGGCGAGTGGGCCGTCGAGTGCATCGAGTCTCTTAGTGCATCGTCGAGAGAGTGTGTTGAGCTCCAGGAACGACTGAACCGAAGAGTTGGGAGCTGTGCTCCGTATGTCGTTGAGTTCATCGTGAGTTGTAGTGTGGAGTCTCGAGAGTACGTGGAGTTCCAAGAACGACCGAGCAGAGTCGGAAGCTGTACTTGGGCTTTGCAGTGAAGCTGTCTCCACCGTTATAGCCTGATAACATGGAGTCACTGATTGTTACAGCGTGTGTATAGCAGTTCTTAGACAACTGTAAAACATGACTTTGGAGCTGTCCTGATTAATATTGGCTCAAAAAAGTGTGTTTCGATACTTCATCAAGTGTCGTTGTTATTAACTCCAAATCTAGGAACATGAAGGAAGAAAATAACGCAATAATATTTAAAAGTTACTTATTGAGCTAACTGAATGATATCTCTATCAGATGAGAAAGCAATTTATTAACACATACGATAGTAAATTATTTCCAGATAGAATTTTCACACATTCTCATTCTAGATCACAATCAGTCATAACAAAATCATCAAAAATCAGCTTTTTATTAGATATTTGTATGTATGATTTTAGAGGTATATTTTTAGAGATATGACACAGGATTTTTGAATCATCATTTCAGTCATGAATCACAGTGGCTTTTTTTCTTTTTCCTTGGTTTTTGTCTATCCAAGCAAAATAGCCATTCCTCAAAACTGTTTGCTTCCATCCCAGACTTTTGCATTACTTTGATGAGTTACAAGCAAAATTAATATTTTTAAGGACTAGAATGTCTGGATTTAGCAGGCATTTTCTGTAACCAGCATATTGGCAGACAATGCAACTGTTATTTCACTACTTAATTTTCTCCGTCATTATATTATAATTCTGCATCATTTAAAAATGAAAGATATCTTTTAAGAAACAGTTTATTCTTATCTACATTAAATGCCATATATTATGTCTTCTAGAGCATACTTGTTAGTTATGTTCTTCAATCTATTCTTTTTCCACACATCAGCAGAATTAATTTCCCGAACCTGTTCTTGAAAATGAACACTAGGTTTGTATGAGTTTTAATGTTGCTTTATCAGAGTCCAATTTTTCAATAAAATTTGGATTTTTATTTTTAGCTAATTTCCAACCACTGGAGTGTTTTCTTTTCTCTCTCTCTCTCTTTTTTAAAGTTTTTTGTTATTACATGAGTTTAAGCTATTCACACGAAGATGTCTTGTTTTGAAGTTTTCCTCCTTGCGTCAGAATGAGTACCTACATTTTTGTCTTTTTAAATCAAATCTCAGATTTTTAATGATGGTAAACAACATTCTTTCTAAAATGCTGAATGCTTAGCCATCTGAAATTTAAATACCTTAAGTCAGTATCAGCAAGATTTTTTTCAAAATTTTACATCTAAAAGTATTGTGTTCTATTTATTTTAGACAGACATTATGAGCAATGTAAAAATAAAACAGTTGCATTTTTTGTTTTAATATTAAAGTAGGTAGTCATGGACTCCAGCTCTCCAGATCAAAATGAAAATAAATGTTCAACGGACAACTTTTAACCTTGCCATTATACCTAGGGATCAACTATGTTTATACTCCCATCCTATAATTTGAATATTGTTAAATGTTCTTTCATAGAAAAATTCTCAACTGTCTCCCTTCAGAGATCATACTTTTTACACAAAAAGTTTATATTTTCACACAATTGTAACTACTTCCATAAGAAGAAAAGTATTTCCACTAAGATTTAAAACTGTTACTTCATTTGCATTAAACTAAAATCACATTTCTAACATTGTACTAAAAAATATAGATTTACTGAGAGTTAAAATATTTTCAATCAATTTTTTTCACTGCTGCATAGTCATCCAGTATTACCTACTTGACAGCCACTGAGCTAGGTCATTGCAATCTTGAGCTGCCTATCTACACACTTCAATTGTTAAATAAATAATGATAATATAAAGGTCACTCCAAAATTTTTTAGATGCATGCAAAGTGGATAAGTGGTAGAAAAAGGCAACAGTTGGATTGAAAATATGAACTATTTTAGCCTAGCAGACGATTTTTTTATTAGCCAACTGCAAATAGTTTAGCATAGAATAAATTTTTAGGAAAGATGGAGTGGACGCATCAACATCTACAATTAGCATCTAGAAATGAAGGTCAATCCCATGCTACTGTATTCAAATGCTTTATGGAATTTCACAGAGGTCACAAGTCTTTTTAGGATGAACACACAGGAAAGCCTTTGTCAGTAGTAATCC